AATGTACAAGATTCCCAAGTGACTATGGCCTGTTGTTGTCTACTTACTGCCATAGATTTAGATATGGAATGGCCTTGGCATGGTGAATAGAGCACTGCAGTTGGATTTGGGAAGATATACCTTCAAATCCCTCCTCATGTGCTTACTCACTATGGGACTAGTTGTGGAGAAGTCACTCGACCTCCCTCAGACTCATTTTCCTCATCTGGAAATTGTGGATAATTTGTTGTTATTGTTCAGTCATTTCAGTTGTGTCCAACTCTTCATAACTCCATTTGGGGTTTTCTTGACGAAGATACTAAAGTGGTTTGCTGTTTCCTTCTCCAGCTCATTTTATAGATGAAGAAACTGAGGGAAACAGGGTCAAGTGTTTTGCCCAGTCTTACCCACAATTGATAAGTGTCTGAGACATGATTTGAACTAAGGTCTTCCTGACTCCAGCCTGGTGCCACCTAACTGTCCTGGGGATAATTATAGCACCCATTTCCCAGGGCTATTGTGAGAACCGAACGAGATAACATTTGTGAAACGCTTCATAGAAGTTCCATATAAATATTAGTTATCATCATAATAAAGTACTTTACAGATATTACCTCATAACACTCATGTGAAGTAGGTGCTATTACATATTTTTCAGATGAAGAAACTGAAGCAGACAAAGGTGAGGTGACTTGCCCATAGTCACATAGCCAGGGAGTGTCTGAGACTTGATTTGAACTCAGTTCTTTCTGACTCTATGTACTCTACTACCTGGATGCCTATATTTGACCAAGGCTCTTAAAAACATATTTCCTGACCTTTCTGGGCTCTACTAAATCTTGGACCTATCCATATCTATCCATCAAATAAAATTCCAGGTTAGTCTCTACTAATGATTTATTGTTCTTGTCGGTCATGTCTGACTTTGTGACCCCATTTGGGGTTTTCATGGCAAAGATACTGGAGTGGTTTGCCATTTCCTTCTCCAGCTCATTTAACAGATGAGGAACCTGAGGCAAACAAAGTCAAGTGACTTACCCAGGGTCACATAGCTAGAAAGTATCTGACGCCAGATTTGAACTCATGAAGATGAGTCTTCCCAACTCCAGGCTCAGCCCTCTATGCACTACGGTGCTACCTAGTTGTCTCCCTATTGACAATGTCAATTGCCATACAAAGACTAATTGTGAATTTATGCTTTGTGGAAGTCCTAAGCATGGGAACAGTGACACATGAATTCTACTTCTTAAGCTATAAAAGGACTTCAAAGAATCACAGAACTCTTAGACTTGTCAAGGATCCCAGTGGACAGCTAGGGCAACACACACAAGAACAGTAATCCCACATGTCTTCTACACAAGCAATAAGTGGTCCCCAGCCTTTGCTTGAAGGCTTCCTGGGATCCAGAATTCCATGTCCTCTTGGGAAGCCATTATGTTTTGGGAAGACTCCAATGGTCCAGAGATACTCCCTCCTATCAGGCTTCACTATGTCTCTCTGCAAATTCTATACCTTTCCCTCAGTTCTTTCCTCTAGGGCTAATCTCTCCTTTATATGATAATCCTTCAGACACCTGAAGATGGCCATGATGTCTCTCCTGTATCAATTCTCACATCTCATGATCTTGAGACTCTTCACCATCCTAGTTTCCTTCCTCTGAATGGTCTTCAAATTATCTACATCTCTCCTTATTCAATTGAATTCACTATGCACTTATTAAGCATCTACTGTATGCAAGCATCAGGGACACAAAGGACATGCCCTCAGGAAGATAACATTAAAAATTTAATGCAAAATATCATTGAGAAGATGACATTTAATGCAAAATATACACGAAGTAATTTCTAAGGAGAGGCTATCAATAGGTAGGAGGATCAGGACAGGCTTCCAGTAGTGGGTAGCATTCAGCCTCTGGTTCAGTGACTGGAAGCCTCCTATTTCTTGTGGTAGCCCATTCCACTTTGAAATAGCTTCTCTTGAACCATAATGTTCTTTTTCTCTTCCCTGATTTCCCTAGCCCCAATGGTGTTGTTAACAACAAGATCTATGCCTCTAGGTTTGATGCAAGTCACAAACCAATCATGACATTTTCACCCCTGTGAACTTGAAAGTTCTTTTTCTCTCTGGCTGTCTGATGAATCACCTAACAGCAAAACTCTTTTAAGACACTCTTGTCAACAAAACCTCACCATGACCTCTTCTAAGAACACCTTCCAGGCAGGTAACAGCATTCCAGTGAAGGGGATGGAAAGTTCATGCCTCCCACCTTCTGCATGTCTGGTACCGATGTTGTCACCTTAAGCAAACATCATGACATATGCAGTGTGTGGAATCAATGAAGCTCTCCCACAAAAGAGCATGACCTTCAGAAGACCCATTATAGCAGCATGATTCATGTGAAAACATTTTAGGGAGAAAGCAAATGTTCAGCTTGGTTAAAATGGGTCTACTCTTTCTGCATCATCAACAACAAAAAGAACTTGAAAGTAAATGGGAAACTGTTTCTAGATCTCTCTTTCTGGTGACTCACACTTGTCTGAAGTCAAAGGATAGATTTGGAGTAAATGGACATCCCTGAAAGGTCATCATTCTTAAATGAAGATACTCATCCGTAAAATGAAGTATTGGGTTAACATGATTGTAAAGGTCTCTTCCAGCCCTAACAAACTATGAGCCTTTTATTTGGGTAAGGGGAAGGGGGTTTAGACTTGTGACTCCATCAATGGAAACTTTTGGTCTTGAAATTCTCTCCACTGACATGGATTGGCAATTCGTCTATAGCTTATGGTCTTAGAGAGTTACCTGATGCCCAGAAAAGTTAAGTAGTGTGGCTACGGTCACACTGCTAGTGTCAAAGGTCTTTTGGAAGCCAAAACTGGTCCTCTATTCATCATGCCACACTGCCCTCTATGAGTCATATTGTTCTTTAAATCATGACAAGGGCTGAGTTGGGTGATGCAGACCTATAATACCTGCTACTGATGGAGGCTGAGGCTGCTGGATTATTTGACTTCAGGGTTTCTGAAACACTGTAAGATTAAAGCCAATTGGGTGTCTGCACTGAGTTCAGTGCTAATATGAGCCCTCGGGAGCAAAGGGCCATCAGGATGCCTGAGGAGGGGTGAAACAGGCCCAGGTTGAAAAAACGGAGCCAGTCAGAGCTTCTATACTGGCCAGCATTGGGATCAGGCCTATGAGTAGCTACTACAACTTCACCCTGGGTGAGTTAGGGAGACCCAGTCTAAAATAAAGTAAGACACAAAATTAAACAAAAAGAGTCCTAGAGCTGAAAGAGATGTTAAAGATCATCTAATCCAATCTTTTATTTTGCAGAGGAGGAAACTGAGACCAAGAGAAGGGAGCTGATTTTGCCATGGCCACCTAGGTCATGGGCATCTAGGTGGTGCAGTGGATAGAGTGCCAGATCTGGAGAAAAGACCTGAGTTTAAATCCGGCCCCAGACACTAGCTGTGTGACTCTGGGCAAGTCACTTAACCCTGTTTGCCTCAGTTTCCTTATCTGTTAAGTGAGATGGAGAAGGAAATAGCAAACCACTCCAGTGTTTTTGCCAAGAAAACCCCAAACAGGGTCAAGAAGAGTTAGACATGACTGAAATGACTTGAACAAGAATAACCTACACAATGTATTTCTATAGTGTGTTCTTTAAAATATTCCTAGGAGGTCAGTAATTAAGTTGTTCTTCATTTTATAGATGGTGAAAATTGAATTCCAGTGAAGTGACTTGCCCATGTCACATAGGTAGTGAGATTAAAGCCAAGGTTTTCACATAACTGCAGAATTTCTGAGTTATAAGGGACCTCAGTCACTATGGAGTCTGATCGATCTCTGAACAAGAATTCCCTCCACAATAAATCTATTGAGTAGTTATCCAACCTTGTCTTGAATCCACGTGAGAACACCTCTTACTTTTAAGAAGCTTTTCCTAAGTTTGCGTCTTGGAAACATCTATCCATTTCCCTTGGTTCTCTCTGGGGCTAAATCTGTTGTTGTTCAGTTGTTTCAGTCATGGCTGACTCTCTGTGACTCCATTTGGGGTTTTCTTGTCGATGATACTGGAGCAGTTTGCTGTTTTCTTCTCCAGCTCATTTTACAGACAAGAAAACTGGGGCGAACAATATTAAGTGGCTTGCCTAGGGTCACACAGCTAGGAAGTATCTGAGGCCAAATTTGAACTCAGGAAGATAAGCCTGACTCCAGGTCCAGCATTCTATCCACCGCACCACCTAGCTTACCTATGGCGCCCAATAGCCTAAATCTAATACTTCCTCCACACGGCAGCCCTTTAAATACTCAGACACAGCTCTCATGCCCTGCCTGCCCCTCAACTTTCTTTTCTCCTGGCTGTCACACTTAGTTCCTCCATCTCATATTGCATAAACTTGAGGCCTTTCAACAGTCTCATTTCTCTCTTCTGATCTTTCTCCTTTTATGAATGTTCTTCTTAAACTGAAGCTCCCAGGACTGAGGACAATGCCCCAAATTTGGTTTGACAAGTGCAGATTGGACCCAGGTCCTCCTGATTCCCACCCTAACCCTCCTTCCACTCTCCCACAGGGCCCCCCCCCAAGCATTGTAAGGAGCACAGGTGAGGCTCAACACTGAATCTCTTGTCTGCTACCCCAGCGTTCTTTCCGTGACACCAGAAGTTCATCTGTTGTAGCTTGGTTAGCAAATGAGCATGCATCCTTGACTACTAGGGGCTTTTATGTAAATGAGTCAGACTTATTCCCTTGAATATATCCAGTTCCAAGAAAGGTTTGGAATTGTGTATCTGTGATTGATTTGGTGACATTAGGAGCATTCTGTCTTTTGCTTTTCTCATGGACAGTTTTACATGACATCTCTTTTGATTCGACAGAAATCAATTTAACAAATGTTTATTAATATCTCCTGCATGCCTGGCACTGAACTTAACCCTGGGCATAACCAAAACAAAATTGAAAATAGTCCGTGTTTCAGGGAACTTAGATTCTGTTCTTCTTCCTTCTGCTTTTTTAAAGGTAAAAGCAGACTATGATCGGCTCAACCACATCCTCACCATAGTGACCAAAGAACGTGATTTGGCCGTGAAGGAGAAATACCAGCTCCAAGCCAAACTGGAGAATCTAGAGCAGGTCCTAAAGGTAAGGGGAGTAGCCCAATGTTGTGCTCTCATTCCTGGATTTGTCAAGACCGATGTGAAAAAGAAGAGTGAAGGATAGGGTATGGAATGACAGAGGCATTTATTCAGTGCCTTCATTCCATTTTCATTTTGAGACTGACACCCACAAGAAGCTGTAAAGGATATCATCAAAGAAATACATGGGTGAAAAAGGACATGGCAACACGGCCATTTTGTGAGAGTGAGTGATGGGCTCCTCTGATGTCCTCATTATGCCAAGTGAATATGAGAAAGACTGCCTGTCCATGTGGGTGGATCCATTAAGGTGAACTTTGGGGACGCCATGGATGAAGGCGCTGCAGAATAGGTTGTGATTTGCATGATTGGGAGAGAGTTATCCATATTGATTTATAGGTCCATTGGAATGTCAACAATATGGACTTTGAGGACAATGTCTCTCCTTTCTGTGGTTAAGGAAAAAAAACACCAAGTAATGAAACATTAATGTTTTGGGAAGTGATGCTATAAAACCAATTATGCATTTCCATGGCTTATGATGTTAAATACAGCTGAGGGGAGAGATTGAGCAGAGAGCCATCTGCCTGGAGATGTAGCTTGCTTAAGTTGAAAGACTTGAGGTATCTGTATTGTTTTTTTTAAAAAAAGAATTCATGAATTTTCAGCTGCTTCTCAGATGTTTAACAACCTTTATTATAATGAGGAGAGTTAGATCGGAAAATTGCTTTATCAGGGAGCAAGTAATTGACTACTAGCCATGCATTTCTGATGGATCAAAATCTGCTTAAATAGACCATTCCCTAGGATGCAGACATATAGGAGAGCGGCTGCTTGATTTGCTAATGATGTAATTGACTTGAGTTCTGATAGCCTCCTGTATATAAGTCATTTTAATTCATACTTTGCAAGCTAGTATGCAGATGACAGAGGCGTTAGATCTTTCACCTTTAAAAGCAACAAGGTGCTCTATCTGGAAGTGTCTAAAGCTGATTATAAAGGGAAGCAGGAGAAAATTTAAAAATGTGTCAAAGTGTGTTTCTCCTTTCCCCTCCTGAACTCCCTCCAAAAAGAAAAAAAACTCTGTAACAACTAATTGAGGTGTCTAGGGCAAGGAACCTGCCCAGGTAGCCTCCCAGCTGCAGGAATGTGGCTGATTTCAAAAAGAAACATGACAACCAGCCACTTTACTCTGATGTATAAAATGGGACTGATAACGCTCACCCTGTCATTACTGCCTCCAATGAGATCAGGGGAAGTAAGCAGAGGAAAGGGCAGCTAGGTGGTATGGTGTATATACCAGGCTTGGACTCAAGAAGACTCATCTTCCTGAGTTCAAATCAGACTTCTGACACATGTAGCTGTGTGACCCTGGACAAATCACTGAACCCTTATTGCCTCAGTTTCCTCATATGTCAAATGGAAATGGGAAACCACTCAAGTTTCTTTGCCAAGAAAACCCCAAATGGGGTCATGAAGAGTCGGACATGACTGAAACAACTGAACAATGGCAACACTACTGCTATTATCATCCTTGTTGTACAAATGAGGAAACTGAGGCTCAGAGAGGTTCATGTGACTTGCCCATCTTGCTCTCCATACCCTCCTCCAGTCCCTCATGTGTCAGAGTCACTTTTGATCATATGGTATTAGAATAACATAACTCAGTCATGGCTGCATACACAGATTTCCTGACAGGGAGAGTTGTCCCATAGTGGAATGGCTACCTTGCAAGGTAGTGAGCTCCCCCTCACCTGAAGTCATTAAGTGAAGGCTGTAAGAATACTTTCCAGGATGCTACAGGAGGGATTCTTGTTCAGGTGCGGGTTAGGCTGAATGACCTCTGAGGTCCCTTCTACCCAACTCTGAGACAGAGTTTTTCTGTGATAGGAGAAAACACTAGTAAAGATGGTTTGGAGAAATCTGTAAGGTGGGTCCATAGAGAGTTTGCACACTTCCTTGTAATACATATGCTTAGTTTTAAATCTCTTCAGCTAAAGTCAGCAGTAGAGGAAAGCTTATGCAAACTGAAGCTCCCACCACAGCTGGCCCGTCTACGTTGTGTAGGAGGATTATTCTTTTGAAAGGCATAAGGATGCATTTTTCTTGCTTTTTTTGTTTTTGCAAAGTGGCTAATATGGAAATATGTTTTGCATGACTTTGCATATAGGGAGGGGATGAAGGAAGAGAATTTGGAACTCAAAATTTAAAAAAAAAGAATGACAAAAATAAATAAATAATAAATTTGGAAAAACACACACAAAGAAAGTTATAAGGATGATCAGTGGAGCATTGGGGGAATACATTGACAGCCATTTCTAGGAACAATGGCAGTATCAATTTTATTATAGTTACAGAACTAGAAAGTGGGAAGGGGTGGACGTGGAAAGTATCTATGAGGAAGCCCAGTGGCTATGGAGAAGATGCCTGAGGAATTGTTGTTTGTCTTTCATTTTCATAGAGGACCATGACATCAGGAAGGTGATATCTTGACTTGCAAATGAATTGGATTTAAGTGAGGGAGAGCTGTGCAAAGTCACCAACCTCACTTTCTCCTCCAGAGCCATCTGGGTCTAGTAGTGAGACATAGATCAGGATGACGGGAGACTTTGGACCTAAGGTCTTTCCCAAGTCTCAGTTTGCCTGAGGCAACACCCATTCAGTGATTAAGGCTAGGTAAGAAATGAGGCAAAGAATGGCCTGAGGAGTAGAGAATAAAGTCAAGCATGGCTGGAACTTGTCTGAAATAGTGACCTAAGAAAGATTCTCACTACTCAGGACAGTTCCAGAGCTGAAAGGATTAAAACTCCCAGCATCAAGTCTCTGGTCCAAGCAGCAAGGGCCTGGAAATAGGGAGAACTGCTATGTTAGGTCATGGAGAGGCTGCCATCTGCAATAATGGAGAGAGATCATTGAATCATAACATATCAGTTCACGGAACGTCATCTGCACTGACCCATTTCATTGCACAAAGAAAGAAACTGAGGAACCCACATGGAATGGAACCACAGACCCCTGAGAATGAAATTGAAGTAATATTAACTGGACAGGCAGCTTTTTAGCATGAATCACTTCTTGATTTATTAACCCCTCCTTAATTAGCATATTGGGAGGAAAGATTGGGGTGGCATCATGGGTTAAGACAGGTTTGGAGCACTGAAGGGGCGTGTGTGTGTGTGTGCGTGCGTGTGTGTGTGTGTGTGTGTGTGTGTGTGTGTGTGTGTGTGTATGTATGGAAGCAAGGAAAAAAAGAGACTTTTATGCACAGCAAGGGAGAGAAAACAAACTTTGCCCACTTCATGAGTTTGCTTAGATCCCATCCTGGCTGCCAAGGCTATTTACAATCAACCTTGGAGAGTGGCGTTTTTCAGAAGGAAAACACAGCTCTGTTTCCAAGTGCTATAAACAGTGGATAAAGAAGAAAGCAAGAGAGATCAAGAGTTTTGTCCTTTCAAACAAGAAGTGTGGAGGGAAGGAGGGCAATTATGTGCTATTAAATAATTGAAAGGAAATCATCAACCATGCAATTTTTACAGAATCCTATGTGATCTTGCCAAGTTCCTATAACTGGGGGAATGAGGCTGGCTTGGTGAGTGAGAATGCTGGGAAGTAGGTGGTGGTGGCCTTCTTCCCCTAGGTTCTGGAAGAGAGCTGTCCAGACTTTTCTCCTGTAGGAAAGTATCCCCCACCCTCCTCTAAAGTGGCAGGATAATTATATCCTCAGGACATTTGGGCATCAATTTTATGCTGGTTCAAGGCTTTTCAGTTTCTTCTGATATCTTTGGGGGATAATCCTAGCTTATGCTGAACCCATACTCTTTTCCGAGCAGTGGGATCAATCATTCTGCTCTTTAGTAGCAATGTAGAAATGGTGAATTGAATAGCTCACTGGGCAAAGAAGTTCTATTACTTAGGATGAATTTCTGAGACACAGAGGTGTATTCTTGCAAACATCTGAATGGACCAATCACTACTGTCTTTGAGTTGCCTCGAGTCTCATCACTCTCATCATTCTCACTGATGCAAAATGGGTCATCAACAGTCTGTTTTCAAGAACTCCAATTCACAACCAGTCAATAAGCATTTATTAAGTGTTTGCTATATGTCCAGCAGTGTGCTAAACACTGGGGCACCAAAGGGGAAAAGAAGGAAAAAAGTGGTCTCTTCTCTTAAGAAGTATCAAATTTAGTGGGGGATACTGCTTACAAGCCATATACCTACAAGGTAGATAAAGGGTAAATTGGAGATGATGCTAGCAGTGGAGGAGGGGGTTAGGGCTTAGAAAGGCTTTGTGCACAATGCAGGGCTTAATCTGTGTCTTGAAGGAGACCAGAGAAGACAGGAAGCAGTGATGAGGAAGGAAAGTGTTCCAGGCATGGGGAATTTGCCAATGCAAAAAAGCAGAGTCAGGAGGTGGAATATTCTGTGGGAGAAAAGCCAAGAAGGCCAGTATTGCTGGATTGTAGCACACATAGCGGGGGGTGAGGGAGAGTAAGGTGTTGAAAAGACTGGAAAGTTAGGAAGGGGCCAGGTTGAGAAAGGTTTTAAAAGGCAAATGGAAGGTTTTCTACTTGATCCTGTAAGTAATAGAGAGCCACTGAGTACAGGGGGAATCTCAGTGGAGAATGGATTGGAGTAGGACAGATAACCAAAAACAGCATTACCCATAACACAGCCCTATAACATTTGTGAGGCACAATCTGGGCATGTGGGGGGGGGGGAGGAAGTGATTTCTTTAGTATAAGGAACTCCCAGTGAGGGTCCTCCTTCTACAAATATAGTTCTGCTCTGCAACTTATAGACTCAAAGTTGCCTAGAGCAGTGAAAGGTTGGACTTACTCAGGGTGAGATAGCCAATATGTGTCAGAGATGGGACTTGAACCCAGGTTTTCTGACTCCTGGGCTATCTACTACACCACATCCCCATCTCACAAAGTGTAGTGCCTAGCTTATGGTTAGAATATAACAAATGCTTAATGAGTCGAATTGGAAGTGTTTTACCTATGT